TACACCCTATAATCTTCTTGTTTTATTTGTTAATTTGGAAACATTTAATGAATAGTTCTATCCAACATTGTGGGGTTTATTTGGTTTAATATCATCAACAAGACATGGCGTGCATTTTTATTTATTTACAGTAATTAGTAAATCAATTCGAAAACAGTTCACGATATATTACATAGCGCCAAAAAAAAACGAGAAAAAGTTTAACTCTGTATTCTGAAAACACAAACATCGATGAATGAAGCAATATTACATCATGTGAATTAGTGGAGATTCAAACAATTGTATTGACTTCTCAGTTAGTACCAAACATTGCATCTTTTCAATTTACAACTTTCATACTATTGTATGGTCGTGAGTTCTGAGGCACTGGAGATGTTCTAGAAAAGTGATACGAAAGTCTCTACCGACTCTTTTTATAAATTTTTATATGTACTCTTTTCAATGGTGTTACCATCAGACTTTCAAAGTATGTTTGTACTGGTTTTTCAGAGATCCGATCTCTGAGAAACCAGTTCAGATATACTTCGGAAGTTCGAAAAACATTCCTCTGGAAAGAGCACATGTGAAAATCTATAAAAAGAGTGCTTAGAGACTTTCGTATCACTTTTCTAGAACATGTCCATCTGTCAAGTCAAAATTGCTGTGTAACTACGCTGAAACCGTCACATAGATATTCCACAAATTGTCTCTTTCCTTGAAAATGAATTCTACTTTGAACTTTTTGACGGAGTACAAACATATTTTCAGGCTATCTGTTCTATAGCCCGTGAAATTCTCTATCAGATGTGGTATCGCTGTAATTGAGCTTTTATTTTAGAAATTGGACTTTAAGAGAGTAGTGCAGCATAAATTAATGCTAATTAGAGCTAATTAATCAATAACAGGAAGTAAAAAACAAACTTTGCTTCTTTTTCTCTTTTTAAATGTTGTTCAAATGATTCTACACAAGCACCAAGTTTTTATAATGAAAGAGAGACAGTCGGAAATTTCTTTAAAAAACAGTCCCGTTTTGGAATATCCATGGAATATAGCTTCCTATGAGAATTTGCGAAATTTGCATCTCGTTCAAAAAACACATACAATGCTTCAAGACGCCTCATTTTTATCAGAATTTTACGGGCTACAACCTGAAGAGGGCGAATAAGTGTCCCAAGGCGGTCTTCCCGGTTTTGGGTTTTCTGAAAAATCGATTTTTGACAAATATTCTAGGAAAAATAATAGGCCAGAAACCAAAATTTGTTATCTAAATACATCCGAGTGTGGTCTATATTTATAAAGCTTGAGCCATAAACATTTTCGCGCAAAGAGAAAAGCGGGTTATTGGGTCTCACGTTTAAACCAATTCTTTTCGGCAGAGCGGTTTTAAAATCTGTGAAGATGTGAAAAAGATAGCCCGCGTTCTGTAGTATAATTTCATATTAACAGATAATTTTTAAAACGGCTTTGCATAGATGAAAAAAACTTAATTCTAAACGTAATGAGAATGATCGATTTGCGGTACCATTGCTTGCGCCTTCTGTATCTCGAGAACAAAGTAGTTTTCAGTGACGCCATTTTTATACCACTATCTAGTTACATATAGGCCTATAACTAGTATGAATGTCATTTAAATCTGTGACATCAACACACTCCAAAAACAAGTCGTAGATTAATAAACTACAATAAAAGAGTTTTTTGGACTAAAAAACTGATCAAAAAACCCAAAAGAGTTTTTTAACGTTTTTTTTTTCTTTTTGTATAAACTTTTTATTAATAAATAAGAAAAGAACATAAGTAAATCGTATTGTGCTATCGGACGCAGAGCGTCCATTGTAAGCAACATAAAAAATGATAAATTCCAATGTTTGAATAATAATATCAGGTGAACAAAAGATAAAATAGAAGTGGTTACAGAAGACATTTTCCATCATTTACCACACTTTTAAGCATACCTAATGACAAAAGAAAAAACAATAAAATAAGCATTTATGTGTAAGAAATGAAAAAATGATACAGAAGAAGAGAGAATGAAGTAATGGACGCTCGAGGAGATGATATAGAAAATATCAATAAGTAACGGCAAATAAATTAGAACGGCAGACTGATATGTGAACTGCATATTGTGGAGTTAAGCCTGTAATACAACACGAGTTATGTATTTAACTCTAATTCTCCAGCTTTCCGAAGCAACTTTGCAAACTAATCGTTGATACCACTTCTGTCAAAATATGGAATGATGTTGAATTACTGAACAGAGAGAGTTTTTTAGACTAAAAAACTGATAAAAAACCCCAAAGAGTTTTTTAACGGGTTTTTTAGGCCAAAAAACTAAAAAGCGTTCGTGGTCGTTTCAAAACGAAAAACTCACGATTTTTGGAAGAGTTTTTGGGTCTAAAAAACTAAAACTAACGGGGTTTTTTAAAGAGTTTCTTAGACATAAAAAAGCTCTCCCAGAACCCGTAAGTTCTTCATTTTGAAACGACCACGAACGCTCTTTAGTTTTTTGGTCTAAAAAACCCGTTAAAAAACTCTTTTGGGTTTTTTTATCAGTTTTTTAGTCCAAAAAACTCTTTTGTTGTAGTTTATTAATCCAGGACTTTTTTTTAGAGTGCAACCACTGTTTGTCTGGCTCTACCGGATAATGGCTCTTAAAAATTCGAACTGAAATTCATTGGATGAAAATTTAGATTTAAATAAGCGTCGAATAAAATTTTATTTCGATAAAATGAACATTTAGCCATCATTTTTGTATTGTGTTAACTCTATTCGAGTGTAATATTCCATTAATCCATCTTCTTATTATTAGAATTATGTTGCTAATGATTTTCAGCAATTCTTGTCGATAAATTGGTGCACCCATCGTATTGATATAAAAGCCGAGTGCTACGTTTAATTTCACCCCCAAATACAGAACTTGAAAAGCAAACGACAATGATTTGTTTCCTAGACTGCCGAGTACTATTATGACATAAACAACATTCCAGGGGATGACAAGGATAATATACGCAAATACTTGTATGAGCAACAGGCGAAATAATTGTCGTTCATTTAGTCTATTAGAAGCAACGGGTGTAATCCTTTCACGTTGCTGTCTGATATTCATCAAAGTGTACAAACCAAAGACAGTCATAAGCACTGTTGGGCATAGAGAATAGAAAATGAGCAAGCTGATGGCATTGAACGAGCTATATATGCCACTCTGATATACACAGCCTTGTTGGTCGTCTCGGTGAGAAAAGGCAGGCACATGTAAGAACACAACGAGAGTAAATGCAGTTGAACCGACAATAATTTGACCGGCACGTTTTCGACTTGAATAATTACGCCATTTTGAATTTAACGAGGACGAACAGAAACGATCAATCGATGCCATTGCAGTAAAATAAGCTGATAAAGTATGAAGAACATACGAAAAATAATTGTACAATTTGCATAGGAGATCGTTTCGAGAAGATAATTGTATAGAATCGATCGATGGAAGGACAAGAAAATATAAGTTCAACAAGTTAACAGTGGACGTGCTAATGAAATACATGGAACAGGGTGACGATCGAAATGTGCGATGAGAGAAAATGACAATATTTAGGAAGTTTCCAATTGTACCCAGTCCAATGATCAATAGATAACCTATAAAATTCATTCTAATTTGTACTATCAATAGAGGATCGAGCACGGCGATAGTGGAATTATCCATTTTTCTTATTTATGAAATAATGGAATTTGTTCCTAAAGCGCACACTTTCTAAGTAGTGGTTCTCGTCAATAAATCAATTATGCATGAACAACTTTCAATAGTATGCATTTGCGTATGATTCTAAAGAAAAATGATGAAACATCGGAATACACAGTTTCTATCACCTTGTGTGAATAGATCTTATTAATCACATTTTCTTCATTAAAAATGAATGATAGTTAGTAAGGAAGTACGACATCGCGTTTATGCTAAATTAAACTCTTATTTTATGGTTATCCAAGGCCGTTATCTAAATTTTATTTATCCGAATAAACAGAAATACTTGGTCGCATTTCGTATGAGTAAATTGCGTATAGTTCTCGATAAGTTCCATGTTTCATTATTTTTCTTTAGAATCAAATACAAATGAATACTATTGAAAGGTGTTCGTGCGTAGTTGATTTGTTGATGACAACCACTACGTATGAAGTGTGTAATTTCTTTAGATACACCCATGACTCATTTACTCTACGACAAAAAACAAAATGAGAAAAAACTAAATTTTCTATGTACTGGTCGTTATAGCTCATAAGCTCTACTAACAGAGATTGAGGTATGCAGATCGAAACATCTAAAAAGTACGACGTTTTCTTAGAATCTGGTCGTTCATTTTCATCTATGAAATCCTGTAACTCTCGAACGAGTGAAATCCTATATCTTCTGAAATTCACAGAATGTTGATAATCTGAGATTCGAAGGATCATAGAAGACTGACATTGTTAAATTCTGAAAATGTAAAATTCACCGGTTTTGGAATTCTGAAATTCTAAATGTTGAGCCGTTCATACAATAGTGACGTAGTAAAATTCTGAAAATCTAAATGCTGCTGAATTCATAGTAGACGGACATTGTGAAATTCTGAAATCCTACATTTTGTAAAAGCCCAAGAATGGTGATAATCTGAGATTGTAAAATTCTACATATTGAGGAATTTACAACATAGTGACACTATAAAATTCTGAAATTCTAAATTTTGCAGGATTCATAGTAGACTGACGTTGTAAAGTTCTGAAATTCTGAGATTGTGATATTCTAAACGTTAGGGATCAATTGAATAGTGACGTTCTGAAATTCTAAATATGAGGTATTGATAAAATACTGACGTTTGAAATATTTTTTCTCTAAGTCTTTATTGACACTGTCAATACCGACCAGCAAAAAACTTTTAAACATTTTGACTTTGGATTGGAACCGTCACAAAAGTAACGGTTCGGCTCATGTTTTGGAATTTAATGGAATAAATGCTTGAAACAAAATTACGTATAGAGAAGCAGACCGATAACTTTTCTCAATACTTTTCCGTATCTCTTTCTAGAACACGAATGAGAAGTTTATGTGGAAGGACACTACTGCGAGCTGCAGACTTCCATTCGACATGATTATTTGGAATAACATCGTTGTTTATGTATTTATATCCTGGTATCACTGAATCAGGAGCTTGTTTACATTGAAGAACCACCTGTATGTAGTAAACGTGATTGTCGCTTGTAGTAAATATCGTTCGTGGACTGAAATACTGATCACTAGCATATTTAATCGAAGGAGATGTGTGACAGTGTTCCTTATCATCCAAATGTGTTGTGAAGAGTTCGCCGCCGAGCAACATATCACCGTGAAAGGGGATAAAACGATTTCTCAAAATCATTTGGAGTTTATTAACTGTTGTTCCATAATAACATGTGTACCATTCAGCCCAAATGTTTTTAACTTTAGCAAAAACCGGATCTACATTGATTAGATAGGCTGTCCATCCTCGAGGTACAGCATACGTTGAACCTGCTTTGAGATCTGTGTCAGATCTATCATTCGGATAATGTTTTGTGCAATAACAATATCCTCCCTTATAACGTGTATTCAAATACGGTCTCAATTGAGTCAGACTTTTTACGTATTCATCACTTATCGTCAACCGACATGGATAACGAATTGACGAAGGAGGTTTGTGGAAGAGAACACGTGGTGCGGGAGAGTAACTACTGATCGGTGGTAAGCGTATATCTACGGGTGGTGTTGGTGCTTTGCTTGGAGCTAATTTTGGAGTAGTATCTACTTTGAGTACAGGTTTATGGATAGCGGTAGTTGTAGGCAGCTTAACAGCAGGCAACGGACGAGGTATTTCTACAGAATAAATAGTAGTTTGAAATTATCAGCTTTAAGCATAAAGCTTGACTGACGACTTTCATCGTGAACATCTCGTTCACTTTTCGAAATTGTTTAGACGAAATAGATTATGAGTTAAAATTCTGGAATAATTTACTTACTTTTTAACTTAGTTATGATTTTTTAGTCAGAAGATGCTTAGTATTTTTTTCTAATTTTTAACGCGAAAAATATTATAAATTCACATAGTTGTTTTTTCGAAAACGCTTGGAACGTTCATTAGATTCACGGTTAACTCCAAGTTATTCTGTTATCGTGGAATTGTTACTGCGTATGCATACGCTACCGAGTGATGAAGTTGGATGAGCTTACGCCTCGCTGCACCTTCCAGCAGAAAAAAATCTACTGTTTTAGGGTTGTTACGTTTTAGGTATTCAAATAAGAAAGATTTTTGTTCTCAAATTTTTGTTCAAGAAAATCTTGTTCAATTGGGTAGTTTCTTTTTTTTTCGAACTTACTCGATTCTGATGAACGTTTCCTTCGTTTAAACCAGATAAAATAAATAAAGATTGATCCAATTATTAAAAATGCAACGATAATCCCTACTGCTAAACCGACTTTGCCTAAACAGAAACACTATGTTTAAATATATTACGTAAAATTTTTGTGCAATATTTATTACTTGATGAGTCAGGCCGATCGACGGTGATAGTTGTGGCAGTGTGATTTGACATTCTATTGGATACCTTGATGGTAAAAAGCTCTCAAATTTATTTTCGAATGTAACTTTGAGAGAATCGGTACCTTAAGGGGAGCGGGGTCCCATTTAGATTTTCAGCTAACGTTTCCAGTTTGTAGAGGATACGTCGAGGTATATGTTCTGAAGTTTTTTCGGCTTACTGATATTATTTATCTGAGAAAAACATTAATTACTTAAAAAAAATACTGTTAAATTTTTGAGCACGGGGTTATTATTAAAAAAGTTCTTGTCCATCCTCCATTCAGCACAAAAACTTGGTTCTTTCCTAGATCAATAGAGAAATGTGTGGAGAATATTTTCTAAGAGAAAGTATGTAAAAATTTTTGTTCTTTCCCTCCTGTTACTGACTAAATAGTGCTAATTAACGTTATTCTAGCCTACTCTACTAGCTTAAAATCGCATTTGTAAAATAACGACTCAACGAAAAGATTCAAGCAATACCTTTATCTGATAGAGAATGTCATGGGCTACAAGTTGAACTACCTTAAAAGTCTTAGAATTCAGTTGGCCGCTCGGCAAGTCTGATAAGTCAAAAATTTAACAATATGTTTTTCAGTGATCAATTTCTTTCTTAGTCAAATAATGTCAGTAAGCCGAAAAGGCTTCAGAATATACATTTTGAAGTGTCCTCTACAAACTGGTGAGTATGAGAGTCAAATGCGATACTTTAAAATTTTGCTTACTTTCGGCTCGAAATGGATTTTTCAAAATACCTTGAACCAAATTTTGCTCGAAGGAAGCATCTTCAAGAAAAAGTATGTGTACAAAAGTTGTTCAGAATCAGATTCTCTGGAATATGAACGAAGGATTTTTCAAAATTCGTTAAATTCGATTTTTAAATTGAAAAATACGGTTTTTAAAATCATAAAATTTTGTAAAATTTAATCGATTTTAACGAATTTTAGAAAATCCTTCGTTCATTTTCCAGGGAATCTGATTTTGAACAACTTTTATACACACTGCGTACTGGACATGTGCAACCGTACCCGAAGGTTGGGTACGGGTGTGAAGTTGTCGGGTACCGGTAAAGCAGTTACGGGGACGAGTTCTATTTTTTTAATTTACCCGAAAACCGGAAGGTTCTAGTGGAAAACCCGTCAAATTTTAGTAAAAAAATACAGAAGTTTAGCTAAAATACATGAAGGTTTAAAAAAGAATTACTTGAGAACGTAATCATAATTTGACATCTTCAGCCGAAAAATAAAAGTTTTTAGTTGGAAAACAGAAAGGAGAAAAAGGAGAAACTTTTTAGGTCTAAATGGGGTACGGATACAAAGTTCTCGGGTCGAGTCGAGTACGGGTAGAAAAAAGATTTTCGGTTCGGGTAAGAAAATGGTACTCGAGCACATCTCTAGTATGTACAAAAGTTGTTCAGAATCGGATTCCCTGTGTGTACTACACACACTTTTTCTTGAAGATGCTTTCTTCGAGCAAAATTTGGTCCAAGGTGTTTTAAAAATACTTTTTACTCCGAAATTCCACCGGGCAGATCAAAGCAGAATAACTCAGTCAGAACCTGACTGAAAGCTTGACCGAATTTTTTGCAAATGCATCTTGATGTCCTCTATCGATTGATATCAAACCGAGGTTGCTTGTAGAAATCTGAAAATTTAATTGGAATTTTTCAAACCGGGCACAAAGTCGAGGAAAAATTTAAAAAAAATTGTTGTCAAAAACTAGAAGTCCAGGAATCTCGAATCATACTAATGGCTCAAGTCCAAACTGAGGGATATCAGAGTTTCACTGAAAAATTTTTCATTAAAAAAACTTTCATTAAATGGAAGTTCATTAAAATTTTAATGAAATTTTTGTGCCATCAGAAACTGTGGATCACAGCCTTTTGCACGAGACATTTTAATGACAGTAGCGGAACTTTCATTAAAAACATTTTTTAATAAAAGTTTCGGTAATTCCATTAAAAAACAACGTTTTAATGAAAGTTTTTTCATTAAGTCCCAAACTGAGAGTAAAAATTTCCTCAGGTCAAATCTTGATTAAGCTGAATATGAGTTAACTGTAGCTTCTTTTAAAAAATGAACACAAATGAAGAAACATCTATGACAAGCAAAAATTTGATCAGGTCACCATTGATCGATTTTTACAATTAAACATGAAACATTAATATTATGGTGAATTTTATGATATGGTAACATATAGAAGTAATTTTGAATCAGTACCAGTTCTGTTTTACTTTTTCTATCTTGACATCAATAAAATCATCGACGGCACAATTTTCTAATAATTATTCAATATGCTGATCATGAAATGTTACTCATTTGGTCACATTTACTAAAACTCAGCAATTCGCTCCCAAAACGCTGTTTTCTGTCGTTTTTAAGACTGATCCAGTTCTCGAATAAAAGAGCTAAATATAGAAAGGGGGTAGACTGGCACTCAGCAATACGATATCAATAATTGCTTACAACTGTTTATCAACAAAATGAGAAAGTCAGATCATCATCTAATAATCAGTATATCAAACTTTATGACAACACCCGATCATATACTTATAAAGATGTTTCTAACCATTTCGAATCAGAACATTCCATAATTATGATATGGCCACCTTATCCTGCGGACACAGTACATGCAACTTTTAGGTGTTCTATCTTATCAGAAACACGTAAACGATCAAATCAGCTCCGAATCAGTGCATTATGTGCTATAGCTGAGAGTATGAATTTATGAACTGAAGATGATTCCAGGAAAAGCTTTTGACAAATGGCTTTTTGACTAAATGTAACGGTGTGCGGGTAATCTTGGCAGCTACAATACGTTTCAAAAAAGAATGCCCCTGACTATTTTTCGAATAACTTTTGATAGAAAGTTGGTAAAGAGATGTGGTTTTCGCTGTTCGAGAGCGAACACCTTAAGACATCTTGAGAAATAAAAACCAGACCAGGTCTACCACCTCCAGGTGGTAAACCATTCACATCTTTGAAAGACAAGGTTGGAAAAGAACGAAAAAAAAGATCTTTTTCCCGCTCTTTTATAGATTCGAACCAGCAAACCTTCCTCTACAATATCCTAGAGAGCTCATTTTTTTCTGTTTTCCCGTTTCCGATAAGGAGCGATTCTCCGAGGACGACCTTAACTCACCCTTTTTTCACTTATAATATCGAACGAACACTTCCCAAATAGGTTTTCAACTATGCTGATTCATGCGGCTATGTTTGTTTTTACTTTGAAATGATTGCTGATCGAGATTTCAAGCCTTAAATAATCTCAAGGTTATGCAAATTTATCTGAAGAATGCGATGTTATTGTAATAATATTTACATTGTGGAGTATTGAATTTTTTTCACGTTTTTTTCACATTCAGTTTTTCTCTTTCTACTACTGAATGTTTTTCTATTGTTTTATATTTTCTGCAGGTATTTCGTTGTTAATTTTCGCTATGTTATGAATAAATTGTCGGTTCGAACTATAATCAATGCTGTATCGCGATGAGCAATCGTTTCAAAGTAAAAACAAACATAGCCGCATGAATCAGCATAGTCGAAAACCTATGTGGGAAGTGTTCGTTCAATATTATAAGTGGAAAAAGCGTGATTTAAGGTCGTCCTCGGAGAATCGCTCCTTATCGGAAACGGGAGAACAGAAAAAAATGAGCTCTCTAGGATATTGTAGAGGAAGGTTTCGAATATTGTAAGAATATTCGAATAGAATATACTAAGTAAGAACTTGAACTCTTTTCTATAAATTTTTGATCTGAAAATCTTGGAACTTTTGGTATGTTCGAAGTAGAATGAAGAGAATTTACCAGACATAACTGCTCATCAGCTGGCTAGGGAAGAATAGGTGTGCATCGGTATCGGTATCGGTATCCATATCGAAAATACCGACTTTTTTGAATTTTTCCATCTGAAATGAAGTGGTTTAGCGTCATGGACAATCAGAACACAAAATACACTCAGCTGTGTATTCTGAGCATGTACAGATAGAAAATGAAGGAAAACTTTGGCCTTAGAAAGCCCTTGATTCTTTCTGGGTGTCAGGGGTGCTAAAACTATCTCATTTCAGATGGAAAAATCCAAAAAAGTCCAAATCGAAAAAAGTCGGTATTTTCGGTATCGGTATATACCGAAGTGTCGTTACCGTTTTTCTCTTGTCGTCTATCGTATAATGTTCGTAAGAAATATCCTAGAATCCTAGCAAACGTCTTGTTTTTTAGAAGGAAGTGCGCTCTTCAAAATCCACCACTGGCTCAATTCTAAATAATCGACGCTATACTTAAAATACGAAGAGTGCGAAAAACACTTTCATTTGATTTTAGAGCTTTTAGTATTTCGACTGTGGCCGAAAATTCGTCAATTATTTCGAATTGAGTCAGTGGTGGACTTTGAAGAGCGCACTTTATTCTAGGAAGCAAAACGCTTTTGCGATATTAGTTACAAATATTACAGGATACAGGAAAAGAGAAAAAATGATAAGGCACAGACACTCTGGTAGCAGATTTACGCGTTTTTCACGTCTGCAAGACTAATGCAATGATGTACTAATACTAGTAGTACTACTCCATTATTATATTTATTTCCATTTATGAGGAGTGCTATGACTCCTCATTCAGGCCATTGCTTGTTGAATATTACCACTTCCTCAATTACAAATACTTGACTCTTTTTATGCTATATTTAAAATACCAACAACCCTAAAAACAATTGAAAGTATTTTGTTGTGTAACAGACGAACTTGTCACTATGGGTAACAGGGGGAATTTACGAGAAGTCGGGTGATTAGTAACCGATATTAAATATACTTCACCAGCCAGTAGATGAGCACTTATGTCTAGTAAATTCAATTCATCCTTTATTCTATTATCATAAATAACTTGAGCTGAGAAAAAGCCTTAACCTTTACTTCAGTACAATATAAGGATCTGTTGAATTTGCTCTAGAATGCTAGACTCGGAGTTGGCGTTAGAACGAAAATAGCAGGTGTGTCAGCATTATAGTACGATCCAGAGGTGGGCGA